TTTTTCTCTTCCCTCCAAAGCATCAGTTTCCCTCTCCCTATACAACACCCCACCATAATTTCCTAGTGAGAAATTTCTTTTCCCAACTCTATTTTGTATGAGTGGGAGGGTCAAGTTCTGTCAACATCTTCCATGGGAAAGCTGAAGGCAATTCACCCTTCTCTGTACCCAGAATAGCCAGGGAATGCTCACTTGACCTAAACTCAGCTGATTCAATGGTCACACCTAGAATTTTGATTCCCCAGCAGATGCAAGGACAAGAAAGAACTGTGGTTGGCCAGTGGCATCCCAGCAGGCTCTTCCAATCATGAAACATCTGTCCTCCTTCCAACTTCTTGGTTTTGCAGAGCTCCTTGGTCTTTCCCACTCTAAAATATGTTTCCCCAGACTCAGAGAATAATTTGCTTATACTAGCCAGTGAGAGTCTTTCTGTAAGCATACGAGGACTGCACTTCTAAAGAAATAACTCAGGAGGAAGAGAGTATATGCAGTGGTCAGTGGTGTCACAGTTCATCTTAGACTAACTCCTCTACAAGGAAAGTTCTCTGGTGGATGATTTGATGGTTTGCACTTCTTCCTCTTGCCTTCTCTTGTAGTAGGAGTATACTTCTCTATCCGCTGATGTTGGTGGGTATGATGGGTACCATGTCTCAGTCAGAGTTTTAAATATGCTTTGCCAATTTTGCTTCATATATACACACACACACACACACACATATATCACACACATATAACTTTGCATATAAATAAAAATATATAAGGCATATTATGTAGGTAAACTATGTATTTTAAATATATATTACTTTAATTCATTCCATTCTTTTACCAAGACAGTTCAAATCCATAATAATCTCACCTTCTACTTCAATACTTCCAACTCATCTCATGGCTTTTAGTCATGTGCCTTTGAAAACCATCCTTCACAAAACTGATAGTAAAATAAATCTAACCCTCTAAGGTCACAGATTAAAAACCTTCAGTGGCTCCCTCTTCCCCATTTGAGCGTCATTGAGACCGGTGTCCTCTATGCCACTTCAGTCTCGTCCCTGGATGTTGCCAGCCCCCCACTTAATGTTCAGCAACATTAAATGCCCGAAGCATCTTGACCACACCTCCACGCCTTCATCAGTTTGTGCCCTTAGTCCTGCCCTCCTCTTCCTCCTAATTTTTGTCCGGATAACTTCTGTTCAACTCTCAAGTTTCCACTCATCATCAGTGCTTCCAGAAAGCCTTCCCCAGTCCTTCCAAGGCACACTTCCCTGTGCTTCCTCAGTGCATACCGTCTGGCACCTTCCACACTGAATTGAACTGATTTTGTCTGTATCTTTCTCTCCAATAGATTGTGAGATTTTGGAGGGTAGGGGCAGTCCCTTGTTTAGCTTTTTATGCTCAGAATCTAGCATGGTGTCTGGCATGCAATGCACATTTGTGAAGCAGAAATAAACCAAACAAATGACCATTAACATGAGAAAACTTTGAATTTTGTAAAGCCTGAGACTAAAATTCTTACAAAGCTAATGGCATTATAACTTGGTTCTTGGATAGCGACATAGCCACACTTAACAAAAACTCTGAAAATGTTCATTCTCCTTCCCTTGGTATTTTTCCATTTGTGCAAATTCCCCAACGGAAAAAATCCAAAGGGGGGAGGGAATAAATACAGATGTTCCCAGCAACTCCAATTATGATAGTGAAAAAAACTGGAAGTAATCCAAGTATCTAATAGGGAAATAGCTAAGCAAACAATGGGATTATTACATAGCTATTAAAAATGACAGAGGTGAGGACTATGTCAACATAGAGAAGTGTGTATCTGCAGGAACGTTAAGTGGAAAAAAGAACACAGCCAGTGTTTAAACACTAGTGGTTAAGGATGTGTGTGCACATTAACGAAGATTAGAGGCCATTTGGAGAAATGAACATAGCTGCGGTTCAGTGTTCATTGTTCAGTGTTCCCTGTGTGGATTCATGAATCTATGACAATAGTAGGTGCAATGTCACACAACATAGCTATCCTGCAAGTCCTCTACAGAGTGTCTACATTACTTACCAGTTTGTTTAATCCAAGAGATCATTCAATGCCAAATTCTTATAAAGTTATGATGAAAATTACTTCAAGACAGTAATTACGTTACTTCAAGACAGTAAAATATTTTTCTTCATTTACTTCAATAAGCAGTGATCAGCGCTTAATTTTATGGTAGGTCATGTTCTTGATCATGAAATTTAAAATCCTCAGGTGGATATGTGGTATTAGTTTGACTTTTATTTACTTGGGTAACTACATATGAGGACCTATTATTATAAAGGGAAATCTGAAAAACCTTTGGCCTAAAACTCACATGCATTTGTCTCAATTTTATACTTCTGATGTTGTCTCCAAAAGAGGTTTATGTGGAGTCACTGAGATATATTGATAAGGATGGAAAGGAAGTCATCATCATATGACCCTGAACTTGTGTCACATCCTCCCTGCAGTGCACTATGAATTAATAGTATTGCATCCTGGGATTGGTTTATTTTGGGAATAGCAAAATATTGACTTGGCAAGATTTAGTACATTGCAAATAAAAGATTTTAAAAAACATTTTGTTCTAGAATTTATTCATTATTTTATTCACTTGGACCCTAAAAATTGGAGGTGGCCAGGTTTTTCCAGATCTCTGGGAAGCTCTGATTGTAAGTACCAATTTATGTTGAGAATGTGATTATTTTAATTTGGGCCCAAAAACTAGTATGTGGTTAATAATATAACTATATAAACATTTAATGAACAACTGTCTACTAGCCCTACTATTTCCATTGCCATGTAACCAGAGTCAGAAGCAGTTTCTACAGCTTACACCCCTGACCTGCAAACCCTACTCTTAAACGCCTGACTTGGGCTCTGGATTCCTATGCCATAAAAACTCTTCCTCTCCCCTTTTTCTGCATTAGATTTCCCTTTAGCTCCAGGACTCATAATTCAAGTCAGTACTATTAATGTATAGTTTAATGTAGTCTCTGTGGTGATATAAGTGCCCAAAAAGCTATTTATTTTTTTTTTTTAAAGATTTATTTATTCATATAAACACTGGGTACAGTCAGAAGGGCGGGAGGGTGAGAGAATTCACCAGAGCCAGAGCGGGGAGCAGAGCAGGCAGAAGGACCGAAGTACACTGCTGAGGGGAGCAGTGGGCGGCAGGAGAGGTCTGCGCGCCATGCGGGACCCTCCTCCGGTGGCCGGGGAGCAGCCGGGGATTGAACCGGCACCGCGGAGGCTGCAGGCAGCTTGGCAACCCAGCGCTCAACCGCTGCGCCACCGGGGAGGCCCCCAAAAAGCTATTTAGAAAAAAAATTTGAGAATGCAGTCTACAGATTTTTTTGGGGGTGGGGGTGGGGGAGGAACTGCCCCAAATAAAACTTTTGATCAAAATACCTTCAATTATTTCTCAAATTTCTTGTGCTTAAACATATGAACAAAAAACAATGCTAAGTATTATGTTCAAGTGGCTGTTCTTGTAAATAGTTAGAAGGATTAGTCTGGCCATTCTCCTATCCCTTCTCTTTCTTTGTCCTGCTTCTGTGCTGTGACTACTGATCATTATCTGAAGATGATGATTCTCCCAACATTCAGCAAAATCCCTCATTCATGCAAAACCCCAAATCCACAAGATTATGTCCAGCTTAGTTGGAGGAACAAATGGGAACTGAAGAATCAGGGTACAGTTTCTCCTGACCAGTCCCACACCCCAGTTCCACCAGCTTCCATCCCATTTGGAGTGACTGAGTTGTCTATGAGGCAGAGGGAGTTATTTTCCCACTTACCTCAAAAGTGCAGGTAGATACTGAAGGCATGTTACCTAACATTGTATTTCTCCTTTGAGAAGCGGTCACCAGAACGTTTGGTCATGGACCCAAACTCGGAAAAATCTAGTTTAAAAGATTGTGGTTAGGAGCAAATGCAAAGCCATTTGTTGCATGGATAAATACAATGTATAGTTACAAGGGTGAGGAATTTCAGAATTATATGACTGTTAAGATGAACCAGATTATTCAGACAATAACCATCTAAGTAAAAAACCAATTTGGTTTTCCTTATTTGAGGGTGTTATAAGAAGGATGTATATGGGGGTCCTGTGGTAGAGGCTCCCAGGCTGAGCTCCAGCAACCTACCTACCTGATGGCCCAGAAAGCACCCCCAGCTGCTGCACACTTTCGTCCCTCCTGAATTATCCAGGTAATTGCCTCCCAGTTCTTGCCTCACTGACCGCAGGCGAGAATCTATTCATTCAGCCATTGCGTGGGCTGCATAACTACTTCAAATGAAAACCCGGGAAGCCAAATTCCCACTGCAGTTGAACGTGTATAATTAGCTTCTTGTGCATCCTGACCCCTGATGTTTCTGACGCATTTGGCCTGCAGTATGACCTTTCTAAGACCTCCAATATCTCCTCCACAGCTGGAGATGCCCCAAACTGCACGCAGCACTTCCTGTGGGTGTGGCCTTGTGGGCCTCATGCTGTGTTAAAGCAAAGGATCCGCATTTCAACCTCTCACAGGTTCACAGCGCTTTTCAAAGGACTGGAGTGGCCCATGAGCAGCTGTCTCAGACATAAGTGGACCCCTCCCTCCCTTTTCTTTTTGAAAAATGACTTATGATGGAGGCCTTTCCAGAAACGCTATAATTGGTCAGCTTGGGGTGCGTTTGATGTCTTCCCAGATAACATCACCAGCTATTCTCCGGAGAGGAAAGGCAGGGTTTGCCCCCTGGGAGAGTGACAACACCCGTTTCAAGTTGGGGTAGAGCCTGTGGTTCTTTTCCTGTGTGTGGGGAAAAGCGAACACACAGTGTTCATTTCCTAAATACGGGATGTGCGGGTGGCTGGCAGGCCATTTTCCACCATGTCACATCCTTCCGGAGAAAGGCAGCAGGGGCTAGGACGGGAAATGTCCAATTCGCAGAATGAGACAAGGTTTTCCCAGGCTAGTCATTGGTTCTCTGGAACTATAAAGTGTGCTCATCCAGAAACAGATTTTTCTTTCCTGGAGATAGCCAGAAGTGAATGGTAAGTGGGGAGCCCAGGGGTATGCTATATGCAAAGTAGCCGTTGAAGTTGTAATATGGGATTTTATCTTTGGCCAGTTATATATTTGGAGTGACTTTTTCTTATTCTGCTAAGGGGTGTCTCTACCTGGACATTTATCACTGGTAAACTGGATTTTGCAAGTCAAACTAAGACTTAGGAGTCAGAAGGCCAAAATTCTAATGCTGGGTTCTGTGAAGAATCAGTAGCCTCTAGAACTTGTCTTTGTTTGCATTGTCTCATCTTCCAAATGAGAATAATGTTTTCTTGTCCTGACAGCTCAGGTACTGAAATGCTCTGTTTCTATGCTTTATTTGCCACTTTAAAGAAGTTCCTAATAGCAAGGCCTACAGTGGATCTGAAGGTAGAGATTGCTGGCATCCTGGAAGGCTGTGTTTTGCCCCCATTCACTCTTTGTTAGTCGTCTTTATTGGTTTCAATTCAACTTGGTCCAAGGAAGCCCATAGTGAGTTGTTAAACAAAAAATTTGGCTACTTAATTTTAGTCAATCATTACTCTTTTTTTAAAAGGAAAATTTTCTAATAAAGAGACATAGTAGTGTTGGTCTAATGTAATTTTATTTTGTGATTTAGTTTAATCAAGCACCCATCAAAGAGTGAAATTTCTGAAGATCTGATGAACTCTAATTAGAAAAAAAATGCACAAACCACAACTTAGGTTTGATTTAACTAAGATAACAGCCTGGAAAAATAACAAACAGAAAAGTTGCTTCAGGCAGCATCTAACCTAGAAAGGTTGCTTTTTTGCATTGGACACATAATACGATTTACAAGTTGTGGTGACTGTCATTTTTACTTATCAGGAAAAGAGAAAAAAAAAACTGCATTGCAAAACTCTTAGGATCCCAGTCTCCATGTAACGAAAGGCTTTGTACAGTGGTACACCTCTGGGATAAGTGTTATCTTTCAAACAGCAAAGGCTTCCTTAGTGCCGGGAGCCTTCCTCCTGAGTCGACACCTTATTTAACAGGTAGTTAAAAAAGTCCATCCTTAGCGTCCTGGGGAGAGAAGCAGAAGATGGAATCATTCCTATTTGCACAGGCGAATGGAAGGTTCTGAGGATTTGTGTGACTTGTCCCAGATGACAGGACTTGACACATGACCCCCTGAAAAGTGACCCCATCCCCTGGCATAAGGGCGGACAGACTTAACGTTGGACAACTCCCAGCTTGCTTCTGGGGACCGCGACCGGGAGCAGCCTGAGGGCGGGAGACTCGGGGCTAACTGCATGTCTGTGTCCCGCAGGGCATGGAGCGGCCGGCGGCCCGGGAGCTTCAGGGCACCGACGCACTGCGGCGCTTCCAGGGGCTGCTGCTGGACCGCCGGGGCCAGCTGCACCGCCAGCTACTGCGCTTGCGCGAGGTGGCCCGGCGCCTGGAGCGACTGCGCAGGCGCTCTCTGGCGGCCAACGTGGCTGGCAGCTCGCTGAGCGCTGCGGGCGCGGTCGCCGCCATCGTGGGGCTCTCGCTGAGCCCGGTTACCCTGGGGGCCTCTCTGTTGGCGTCGGCCGTGGGGCTGGGGGTGGCCACGGCTGGAGGGGCCGTCACCATTACGTCCGACCTGTCCCTGATCTTCTGCAACTCCCGGGAGCTGCGGCGGGTGCAGGAGATCGCGGCCACCTGTCAGGACCAGATGCGGGAGATCCTGAGCTGCCTGGAGTTCTTCTGCCGCTGCCAGGGCCGCGGGGACCGCCAGCTGCTGCAGTGCGGGAGGAACGCCTCCATGGCCCTGTACAACTCCGTCTACTTCATCATCTTCTTCGGCTCACGTGGCTTCCTCATCCCCAGGCGGGCCGAGGGGGCCACCAGGGTTAGCCAGGCCGTCCTGAAGGCCAAGATCCAGAAACTGGCAGAGAGCCTGGAGTCCAGCACTGGGGCTCTGGACGAACTCAGTGAGCAGCTGGAGTCCAGAGTCCAGCTCTGCACGAAGGCCAGCAGTGGCCACGACCTCAAGATCTCGGCTGACCAGGCCTCAGGGCTGTTTTTCTGAGAACATCCTTTCCCTCAATGACCGAGGCCAGAAACGGTCCCTGTGGGATGCTCCAAATTGGTAGCTCCCTCGGGAACACACTCAGTTGGGTTAAAGCTGCATGCAAAGGATGAAAAAACTGAGCTTGAAGTAAGGGTGTGTGTGTCTCTGCAATGCCCTTCTTTCCCATCACTGTGATAACCTGCCTGGGCTTGACTGCTAGTGACTTTTTATTGCTATTCCTAATAGGAGAGGTGACTTGAAAACTACTTTTTCTTTGTCAAAAACCGTTCAGTCTTCATGCAGCTAGACACACCTGTCTTAAAGTTGTGGCAGGGTCCCTGGCCTTGCAGGGTTATGTGAGCTGCGGCTGGAGACTGTGTGCTACAGACACTATTAGGCTTTGAGTTTCTCAGAATGTCTGTAAGAGGAGCTTTAAAACCTCTCCAAGAAAAAACAAAACACCTCTTTCCAGTGTAGCTTGAGTATAATGAAGCCAGAATCCAGAGCAAATCAGATACCCTCTGAACTGTGTAGGAGGGTTTAGGACCCAAGAGAGGCCCTACCTCTACCCTACCTGCTCAGCTTGCCCTCTCAAGCTTCCAACCAGGGGGTGGAGGGACCTTCCCTGGTGGTTTCCTATCCAGATCTCCAGATGTTTTGAGAGAGGAACCCAATTAAATGGCCATCTGCATTCTGCCTGCCCTTTACAGCAAGCAGCGGAGGCCAGGAAGATGAAGTGACCCACAACTTCATCATTAACATCATAGCTAGAGAAGAGAACATTAGCTTTTGGATTAGACAGCCCAGGGTTTATTAAAAGGTCTGTTACTACTGTGTGACCTTGATCATTCAATCTGGCTTCCTGGTCTGTAAAACAAATCCTAAAACCTCACAAAGCTGCCTGGCTCTCCAAGCATGGCCCCTGGACTGGCAAAGTTAACATCACCTGGAAACTTGTTAACTAGGCAGGATTTTAGACTCCACCCCCTACTTCTGGAGTCAGAAACTCTGCAGGGGCCCAGCAATTTGTGTTTAAACAAGCCCTCTGGGTGATTCTCATGCTCTCTAAGCTTTGAAAAACTCTGCAACAGATGCTAGTTTCTGATCCTCACAGTGAGCTTTCAGTGTCTTATGGCCTCTCTAGGGACTTCAGAGGTCAAGAACAGACTGTCCCAGAAGTGAAAGTATGTGTGTTTGTGCTGGTCAGTGGATCCTGGGGACAGTCTCCCACCATGTGAACTAAGGGATGTACCCTACTAAGACCTTTAGAGGGCAGTGTAGCCCACTCATTGTGGAAACTGGTACAGAAAGGAATGTGAACCTACCCGATATTGACCTCTATTACCTTCTCTGAAAACTGCCAGACCACATAGTATTATTATTATTTTTAATTTATTTTTTAAAGTTTATTATTTAATTACTGTTTAATGTTTGCATTTAATTTTATTTAATCACATTTAGGAAATAATGAGAATAGTGAGTTTCTGAATAGGAGACTGAGCCTCTTAAAGAGATGAAGTTGAGTCTGCTTTTCTAAGGTGGGACAGGCACAGGAAACAGTGTTGCTTCCCTGCATTAGGTCTCTCCTTCAGAGGGGAGTGTTTTTTCCTCCAGCGTTTTAAATGATCTTTTAAGTAAGTGTGAGAAGTTCTGAATAGAGAGAGATGAGGATATGAATTTAAGCATATAAATAAGTGGAGGCTTGACGTAGGTGATATAAATGATGCAGTCACTTATATCCTGAAGGTACTGTACCAAGAGACAACACTTGACCTGAAAAGAGAAATTATTTAGTGTAGGGAGAACAAAACGCTATCAGAGTTGGGTGAAGTAAGCCGGATGTCCTATGAAGTTATGTCTTATAGGTGATGGACAAAATAGCTTGTTGGATAGACCATATTTTCACTTTGGGAGCTGTATGGAATCTGTAAGCTGTCTCTAAGGAAATACTTAGAATTTCTTCAATTTCCATTCCTAAAACTGTAATATTGAGAAACACATTGAGATATCTTTGGGATTTTATTGACAATACTTTAAATGTACCAGCCTTTCCCCAGGATTCCCAGTAATGGCGTTGTGTTTGAGGAAATAGAATTTCAGTGCAGGGATCAGGGATGGCTGTTTCTGTATTTTTATTTTTCTATAAATTGCAATCAGTTTTCATCTGGATTTATTTTGAAGTTGACATTAGCTTCTTTTTAAACTAGTGTCATTTCCTAGACTACCTGCATAGGTGTGAGATCACCAGAATGTACTTCACATTGTCATTTGTGTTATGTCACCAAGGTACAGTTTCCTAATTCCACCTTTAATTAATGCTTAGGTTTTAATTATATTCTTCCAATGCCTTTCAGTGTTCCCTAGAAGTAATCTGGGCACTTCTGGAAGAGGGAGCAGCAGCAATAGCAAGCTTTTCCTATCATGAGGATATTTTTAATATATCAAAGTTCTAAACTCAGAAGTTATAATTTCTGTGACCCACAGTGCATCTAAGGAAGAGTGTTTACTTTGGAATTTGTTGATAATGAACAGTTATCTATGCTCTTATGTGTTTGTTACAAAGATCGGTGCCTGTACCAGGATTTAGTCAAGTTCATTTAAATGGATCCTAGAGGCAAATATTATTTATTTCTTTTGTGGGAATGTGAACAAGGCTTTTCCTGAAGGCCTTCATTCTATATACAAACAGATTGAAATGGTATGTTGTAAAAGGAAGAAGGGAGAGGGGGTATTTAGATTACATGTGTGCTTCAGAAAAATGTCCAAGTTTGAAAAATAAATATGTTTATGCTAAAAGTTTAAGTGCTTCTGTTAGTTTCTTGGATTTACAGTCATTTGGATTGTTTTCTTTCACAATAAAGGAGATTCATTTGGATTCAATAAAACTACATGCTGCTCTACTTAAAAAAGAATCCTTAGCAAACAATCTTACCCTTTTTGCTTTGATGCATTTGCCCCCAGGCACCTGCCACTTTCAATGTGGGAAATGTCAAAGTAAAAGTATTAACTGGGAGAAAAAAAGAGAGAAGAGCAATGTAGAAGCCACTCTACATCAGCCATGTCAAGCCATCAGTCAGCTTGATGTAGTTCTCACTCAACACCTTGGTGTGGAAAGAAACATGAGCTAAAGACATATGCAAAGACAAATGGAGACACAGTTAAGAGCAGCAGTTTCTGAGTTGCGCATTTTCTCCCCACTATAGCAAAATTTGTCCTTTTCCTTTAGTGAAATGAATTGCCCATACCTCACATTTTTTTAATCTTCTGTAACATATTGGCCCAATCTCATGTTTATCCATGTGTGAAATAGTCCCTTTGAAAAGGGGCAGGTGTTTGGACATTTTCACTTAGAATATTCCACATGAAACATTAGAAATTCACTTTCAAAAAAGTAGTCAACTCTTTTCAGGAATTCCCTCGTTCTCTAGAAATCAGACTTCCAGCAGTTTCGAAATCTTTGACCATCATTACTACCTAGGAATTAATTGAAAGGAGACCTAGCATCAACCAAATTAGCCTTCATAAAACGTAAATTCTAGACAAAAGCCAAAAAAGAGTGAGGGACAGCATTTTTACAAGGAAGGCAAAACATTCCCAGAAATCTGGAGACTTTATCTGACAAGTCATGGGTCTTGACTATGCAAGACAGCCTGAGAAATGTAGTATTTTGAGCTAAGAGTTTGTTCTCAATAGATGTAGGATTTTGTTTGTAAGGCAGGAAAGAACTACTGCGCTGGAGGTGTTCTCACTATCTAAGTGCCAGCCTCTAAGTATCCACCTCAGAAACCTTCCTGGGTCCGAACGTTGCACTGTTAATGACTGTGTAACCGAAAAGTGGTTGTGTTGGCAGGACCCAGCCTGTTTGCAAAGGCCAGCCACAAGCTGGGGTCCTATCTTTGCCCCTGCATATGATATTCCTGTCCTAACAAGTATTCTTTTCATTAATTGTAGTAATTGAGTTGACAGGGGGGTGGGATTTTTTTTTTTTTAAAGATTCATAAATACAAGAACCCGGATACAGGCCAGAGGTGCGGGAGGGTGAGAGGATTCACCAAAGGCAGACTGGGGAGCAGAACAGGCAGACTGATTGAAATACATTGCTGAGGGGAGCAGCAGGTGAGACAGGAGAGGTCTGCCGTGCCATGTGAGTACTCCCAGGGTGGGCGGAATCTAACCCGTGTTGCAGAGGCTGCGGACAGCTTCACAGCGCTGTGCTCAACCGCCTGCACCATCAGGGGAGGCCCAGGAGGTTGGGATGTTACTTTTTCTATTTTGTTCCTGGTAAACTCCTAGGAGAAAAAGTAAATCCTGCCTTACTCTGGAGTAGAACAAAGAGTGACTCCCCAAATCTGGAATCCCTTATCAACCAGTACATTGTTAAGAGAGGAGAAATAGTGCAGATATTATCCTTCATGGGTCCAGGAATGGGCACTGGGGCCCTCAGCATCTCTGTGCCTACTTGGCACTAGCACGAGGTTGTGAAAAGAAGGCCATCTAATGCCCAAGCAGGTAAAGCTTGTTTATATTGAGCTGGTCTGCAGATAACAATGTTAAGTCTCCTTTTACGTGTCCAGTGTAACCCCTGAGGTGGGGTCCTGGCTGGTCTGCCATGTGATTTGCCCTAGACCTTTAGCAATGAGTCACAGTCCAGGCCTCTGCCTCCTCTTTCCACAGGAACTGCCATAACAAGGTTTTTTTTGTTTTGTTTTTAGATTTATTTATTTATTTATTTAATTTATTTATACAAGCACTGGGTACAGTCAGAAGCACGGGAGGGTGAGAGAATTCACCAGAGCCAGAGTGGAGAGCAGAACAGGCATACTAACGAAGTACACTGCTGAGGGGAGCAGCGGGCACAGCAGGAGAGGTCTGTGTGCCATGTGGGACCCTCGCCCAGCAGATCAAACCGGTGCTGCAGAAGCTGCAGGCAGCTTCGCAACCGAGCGCTCAACCGCTGCGCCCCCCCGGGAGGCCCCCATAACAAGGTTTGTTCCCGCATTTGTGCAGACCTGCTTGCCAAATTTACAACAATAGTTTAAATTGGGAGCAGCTTTTTTGTGTAGTTGGGGAGAAGGAGTGATATTTAAAATCTTCTAGGCTTCTTATTTCTCCCTGGGTGAGAGCAGACATTTGCTCTATCCTTGCCTATTATTAACACTACAGTCAAAATATCATTGAAGTATACTACTTTTCTCAGTGCTGAAATGAAATATTTATTTTTAGAAACTGAATATAGAAAATAAAGGTGGATATTTAATGGTAATAACTAATAGTATTTATTGAAAAGTTACTTGGTATTGGGCTAAGCACAATTTGACATGAATTATCTTATTCGGTGAGTACTATAATTACCCCACATTATTGGATTTTTAAAAAAGTGAGGAAATGAGAGATCAGATAGTATTCCAGGATATGAATCCTGGCAACCTGACTCCAGTATTATGCTCTTAGCTCTTCTGAGTAAGTATATTCCTAATATGAAACAATAGTGATGCTATTAATAACAAATTGATATATTCACTCATTCATCCTCCCAGAAAACATTAATTGACCACCTTGTACCACCTATTTTTTTTTGTGAGCAATGCAGACCGGGTTCTAGGTCTCATGGCACAATAATGTAGTACTCTGGGAACGGCAATCTTATGCCAGTAAATTCATTAACAAGAAATTAAAATGTAGCTTTGCAAATGACTAGCATTTCCATAAAACAATGTGGGACTGATTTGAAAACAATCTTCTGCTTTAATGATCATATTAAATACTACAAAATATTAGAGATATTTTGTAATTCTGTCCCAGGTGTCACAAACAAGATTCTTACAAACCAAGTGCCTAGAATGGAAGGATAAGATTAAGCAAAACTTTTTGTTACCTGTTGATGTGCTGGGACTTACCAGTGACAAAGGCTGCACAGATATGAAAAAAGATATGACTGGTTCAGCAGGTTTTTCCAGATTTTGTGTAAAAACTTCTGGAAATGAAACTTATTGGGGTCATTCCATCGAAACTACCACTGAAGCTGCCTGTCAGTTTTCTCCCTATTAGGGTTTTGTACTCAATGTCAGTTGGGCAGTTATGGACTAAAACTGAAAAGCCTTGTAGATGAGTAGATATGTGTGAGTAGATATAAGATTTTAGGCTTCATAAAACTATTCAAAATAACATGCTTTGATGCTTGTAACATTGTTCTCTGAGCTTTAATATATTAAACACTAATAACTGTTGGACTTGGAGTTTGACATGGTTGACTACACAAATCCTAGAACGTTCTTCTCTCTTGAATTCTGTGACATCTTCTTTCTTATTTGTTTCCCTGTTTAGCTTCCTTAGTAACTTTTCTTTCTTTTTCTCCTAGACCTGAAGTGTTCGTTGAACCTCAGACCCTGGTTGCTCTCCCTCTCACCTCTATCATATCCCCTTTACTGAAGCCTTCATGTCCATTCCTGGTGTTTGTCCAGTTCTGGATTGCATGCTGGAATGCATATCCATAGCTCAAGGATTCTTCTGGGTCAGTTTGAATTTAGAGGGTACATGGTGATGGTGAGATTAAAAAAAAAAAAAGGTGGAGATCACTGACTGACTAAAGGAAACTGCAGGGAGAATGTACAAAAAAGAAAGTTCTAGTTGTCTCCTCCTATTTATTTCTCTTGCTGGAGTGCTACACTTTAATGTCAGTCAGATGTGGTCTTGCCCTTACCTGAATGTCTAAGAGCAGTCCCTGCCACTTACACTTGATTGATCATGCAATACCACTGATTAGAGATATTTGTGTCAACCCCCACAGGCTTAAGGACACTGTATCACTAAGCCTCCCCACAGTGTCTCTCCAGCTCCCCCTACAGGAGATGCTCCTAAGCATTTGTTGAATGAACAAATGAACAAGCACTCTCTGGCATGGTGTATATAGACTGGTATTACTTCTAGAACATCTACAGGATCCTCCTTCTTCTCTGGAAGCTGGTCCTTCTCCCTTTGTCAAAGGCAACATTAGTGTCCCATTTGCCTACCTTGAAATCTCATCTCCAAATTTCCTTCTTCATTATTTCTCCATTGTCCCTTTGCCAAGGTACCCAGGGTTGCTTCCTATTAAACGACTCGCTAAATGTCTCTCCCATGCATTTTGACCCATTCCCTGTTATCTAAACCCACCCAGGCTTGCATGACCTGGTCACTGTAACAACCCACAAGCTGGCTTTTCTGATTCTGGGTTCTTTCCACTCAAATTCATGCTATCCTACAGCCCTTGATTCCTTTACATCTACATCATGGAGTTGCTCATATTCCAATCTAATGAAATGCAATGTACCTAAAACTGGACTCTGAATTTAAGTTTATACACACTTTATATTCAGTGTAAGTAACTCTGAGTTACATTCAGAGAGGTGATGAATTCCTGTGGTACTTGCTATATATATTTTTTATAATCTTAATTTTTAAAATTGAAGTAACATTGCTTTAGAACATTATATAAGTTTCTGGTATTCATTGTTGAGAATAATACAATTTTTTAATTGAGGTATAACTGACAGATAACATTACTTCAGGGATATAATGTAATGATTTGATAATTATGTATAGAGAGAAATATTCACCACAAGAAGCCTAATTAGCATTTGTCTTCACGCATAGTAATAATCTTTTTCTTGGGGTGAGAACTTTAAAGATTTACTCTCTTAGTAACTTTCAAATCCCCAGGACTTATTTAGAATGGAAAATGTGTACTTTTTGACCCTTTCACCCATTTCATCACCCCTACTCCCTGCCTCTGGCAACCATGAATAGGTTCTCTGTAGCTATGAGCTTGTTTTGCTTT